CGTTTGCCATGCCCAGTCAGTCAAGTGCCCAAGTTCGTCACAGCTCAAAGGCTTGCTGACGCAAGAATAGCTCCGCCAGTTTAAGTATCCGTTGATACTGCCAAAAGACAAACATGTGATCTGAGAAGGACAAATTCCACTGAGAAAGGCGGTGCAACTGGGCACGCGACATATATGCACATATTCTATATCACCACAGAGGCCAACGAATGCGCATCTATTCCCCTTACTTATCCAATCTGGACCCTGGGCCTAAACATCACCATGATGATGGAAGTCCCATTGAGAGAGAGCTCTACAAACATTACCTTGCGCTGGTTCACCAACTTTGTTCAGCATCAAGAAGTTATGTTGAAAGGCTCCAAACTTGGGCAACATGAGGAAATCCAGGAAATCCCTAAATGTTTAAAGGCTCAAATGATGAATCTTCTGGATCTATTGGAGCCCCATCTTTCAACATTTTAAAGTTAAACCAGGACTGTCATCCAAAGACACTGCAGAATCTGGTCACAACACACATTCGGATTTGACTAAAAATATATTACAACCACTAGATATGTGCAAAAACATTGAAAAACCATGTTTGGGAAGCCCTTTTATCCCTTAAACCTCTTAAAACATGGAACAAAATCTCTGAGGTCAACATGGATTTCTTTGGACCAGTTCCGCCTGGCAGCTACGTCTTGGCTAGTTGATGTTGGTTGGCAAGGAGACCTGATGGAAGATCACTGGAATCCAACGGAATATGATATATGTCATGTAGGATATAGGTCTTGGGTCTTGGGAATCCTTTCTAAATGGTGGTTCCAATATGTTCCAATTCCATTGATCATATGATAATCATATAGGTTTTGGGTCTTGGGAGTCCCTTCTGATGGGGGTTCATGGAATAAATGGAATCGGATGCCTACTCATTTCAGACAGCCGCTGGATTGGGAACATCCTCCTGGGCAGTTGAGCAGCGCCATTTTCTGAACTCTCTGTTGGAAGGGTGGCGATGAGCCATAGCACTCCTTGACCCCGGTAATAGAGGCTCTATGCGAATTTCAGCCGGGGCAGAAGCTTTTCGTCTGTACATAAAACCCTCAGCCGAATGAGTTCGGTGCAAAACAACGCATCGCTCGCCGCTTTTGGCGAGCTGCTGTGCATATTTTGGAGTTCCAGCAAACCTGCAGTGATCCCTGCAACATCTGCTGGCCCCAAAAGTTGTTCATTGAGATGTCCGCCAGATTTCACGAAATATGAACATCACGCAAATACCTGGTGGTAACTTAGCAGAAACCGATCCTGTTTGGCAACTTGTGTCCGCACAGGAACTCTGAACGTCCGCCCAAATATTCTGGGAGCAGATGCAGAAAAAAAACCTCAACCGATGGATCCCAAAAATTGGGGCACCCAAAAACAAGATGCTCAAGTCTGAAATTTCAACATTCATGGATTCTATTAAGATTCTTTAAGGCCCCCAATTTCAGGAACACATTGCTGTTTTAAATGGTTTTTTAGTAGGCAAAACTCTCTGTGCGCAACTTGCCAGCAGGCAACCCGGCCGCGGACCAAAGGCCCAAGGCGGCTTGTTCAAAGGCTGCAGGGCCGCAGACGAAACCCTCCACGTCATTGCCGGTGAAGGGCAAATGTTCCTGCCATGGACATTTGCCAAACCCGATACCCACCAGCAAACTAACATAACTATGGACAATTGCCGATTTGTAGATTATTTACCTATGAAAAATGCTGATCTCCATTGCGAAGTTAGTTTACCAGAGAGTATATGGCAATTTTATCTGTCAATAATACAAATGAGGATAATATATGATAATACAAGGATTGCTCCCCATTCATATGTCAATAGTGAGGAGACAAACAATATGGGATTGACAGGGTTTGGAGGTGCCATATTGATTCCGGAATCCCAGGGGTCCCAGGAACCCCAAATCTTTGGATGGTTTGATGAAACTTATGAGGTTTCTCAGGATAAATGGTCATCGGTCCCTCGGGTTTTGAATTTCCACCCATGCGGATGTTGATCATGTGGATGTACCAAAAGGACCCATCCAGCCACCTGTGTTTAGCCCTAAAAGTTCTAGCCATTTTGGATAGCAATTCCAAGGTCATCGACTAGGTTCTTGCCTCCAGAAACGGGAGTAACATGTCACCAAACATCAGAAAACCCTTCAAATCTTCGAAAAGAAAGATATATATATATATGTATATGTATGTATATATATATATGTATATGTATATATATGTATATATATATATATGTATGTATATATATATGTATATGTATATATATATGTATATATATATGTATGTATATATATATATGTATATATATATGTATGTATATATATATGTATGTATATATATATATGTATGATATGTGTGTTTTCCCTTCAAAATCTGCAGAGTTCTTCTCTATTTTTCCATACCTCTTCAAAAAAAATATGATATGAGATGATAATCATTGAATCTATGGTCTTTTTTTCATCCTTTGTTGATTTTCCCACATTTTCCATATCGCTACACTGGGGACGTCCGGGAGCCTTGAAGGACTCTAAGCGTCCGGGCAGCAGCAGGACGTCCTGGCGACCCGTCAGCGCCTTCACCTCGGCGGTGTTTCATGGAGATATACAAACTCTGACAATAAGAGTGATCCAAATTATATCTATATTATATAGGTATATATATATATAGGTATATATATATATATAGGTATATATATATATTAATACATGTGTATGCATAGATATATATATAGTAATACATGTGTATGTATATATATATATAGATATCATTTAAGTCTAAACATGTGAACATGTGAGATTTTTGATGAGGAGCCTTAAAATTGGTGATTTACAGGGATCTCATGCCGGTATTGGTACAATGGGATTTAATGGACTTAGTCGATGGTCATTCTCGAATATGACACCATCTGGGTTTGTCTGAAAATTAGGTGCCCAAAATTATCCAATGGTTGATCACATGTTTCCCTCAGAAACTGGTCATTTTGACAGCGTAGCCCATTTTCATACACACCCATAGGGTTAAACACAAACAGTCATGTAAATCTACTGAAACAATGGGGATACACTGGCGACATGATTCGAATACACTGGGGATAAGATATGCTGAAACATGCTGATAAACACATGTCTTGCATAGAACATGCCGCTAAACACAGGTCTTACACATCTTGTAATACTGTAATTCGGCACATGACGCAATCATAGATATGATTTAAAAATGTCCATGTCTTTCTTATATAAACATGCCGGTAATCAAACATGGAAACGGACAAATCCTTCATTTATCGTTGAATTTCCCAATTTCCCATGAAAAGCCCTCCATTTCGGCAACGGGCAGAGCTCCCAGCAAAGTCCCAGATGCTGAGGCGTGTAGCTGGTCGATCATCATCTTGGCATCCTTATTGGTGATATTGATCACCTCAATGGCTCGGTGTGCAATCACGAATCAAAGACATTGTTCCAATGGATTGGTTTAATGGAATAATCATGAATAATCTATATGGTTTCCTGTAGATTTTCCCTTACACCAATCCATTGATTGTTTGTTGTTGTACCGAGATCGCCTCAATTTGCAGGTCAAGTGATGTGGTAAACCCAAAGCCACAACATCCGAAAATGACTTACCAGAAATTGGTGGGATTTCAACATGCCCAGAAGTTTTATCATTGGGTTTAGCATTATGAACCACTATTATTATCTATTATTTACCACTTTCCATGCAATCAGTATGAATTAACAATTACAAACCACGATTGACCATCATTAACCATGTTGAACCATAATGAACCATTCTGAACTTTCATCAACAATTATTCCAGTAGATAGTGTTACCCTCTGGTAGATTCACAGTTCGACCCTGAAAATCACATTTTTTGCGTGGAACCTAATCTTCCAGCCTCTGGCAAAGTCAGGGTCTATGTTAATTTACTGGAGATATTGGTGTATATATATATATAACACACACATATATATATATATACATACACACACGCACATATCACAAATATCAGATCTCAAATATGTATAGATATATAATCATATATATATACTAATAGATTTACTGGAGGGTACATATGTTTAAGAAAGAATCATGGACATGGCTGTGCCAAGCAACGACCTTCAGCTTCGTCTCAGGCGCCACAGCCTGCAGGTCGCCTTGCACTTGCTTCAACAAATAGCCCAAGAAGGCGGCGTTGCGAAGGTCCTGAGCAGATGGAAGGACATATGTTTATTTATTCTATTTATTTATTTAATATAATATTTACGGAATACACATTATATATATATATGAATATATAATGTGTTGTATATGACTGTATCAAATACTGTATTTATCTATCTCTATATATATATATATCATATAACGTAAATATACTATATATATGTATATGATATAGTGATACAGTATATGGCATCATTCTGTAGTATATTGTATTATTCTGGACAAAGATAATCATTCACCAGTATAAACAAGATCATAGGGGATGATTCCCCCAATCCAGTTCCCATCAGTCCGGTGACTTCGCATTACGGTGAGGTCAAAACTTTCGGCCAACAGTGGAGCCAAATTGGGGTCAAAATGATGTGCCAACAATTAAAATGGCCAATCATGCGGAAAATGGCCAAATCATGTGGAAAATATCGGACAATGATGATGATAATGATTACAGTATATCATCATCAACTTTGTGTGCAGCCCCCATTTTTAGACAAACCCACATTGACATGATCACTCAAAATCTGCAAGATTCTGAAGTGTACAGTACCAATGGCATAGGCATGGCAAGCCGAGGTGAGGCTCAGGCTCACCATCCGTTGAATCCCTTGTAGCTCTTGGTCACCAAACAGGTTCTTGGCTTCATCTATGACCCTCCATAGTGAGGGATTTTGACATGACTTCAGCATCACCAGTTGAACCCTGCAGCCGAGGCGCTCGGAAGCTGTAGAAGAGTGTAAAGCTTTCGGGGACCGCGCGTTCCTCGCCGGGCTGGTCGATGATGCCTCAGCTGGATGGTAATGGGTTGGTGCCATGCCGGCCAAAGGCTTACTAACTTGGGCTCCAAATCCACGGGATTCCCTGTTAAAACAAAAAAGGAACAGTGCATCCAGTGCAATGTTCATTTCACTCAGGGTCGGAGACTTTGCGTTCGAAGCCTGAAGACGATGTAAACAAACAATGGCAAAGTTTGGTGGCTTGGGGGTCCTCAATTTTTAAGAAATTCTCTCGTTTTTGGACTAATCCTTATCATATTGTTAGATCATCTTAAAAACTTAATGTATATCATATACTGTAATATTCCTGTTCAATCGCATCCCCCTAATACGACATGCCTCTATACAGCCTATACAATGCATGGGACCCCAATTCATGAATAGATCCAGTACTCAACCCGAGTTTTCATTGGTAGGTATCTTATGTACTAGAGATTATCCACATGTTTGTTGGTGATAGATTGTTCAATCCCTATTTACAACTCAATTCTTGTGTTTGATTCTTGTTATGCGTTATATCCCCAATCTAGTATCACACTTTTTTATGGGTAGATTCTAGCTATATGTCCATTTTCCCAGGTCATTCTATGGTTCTATCCCCACATTTGGGGTTCCAAGGCCCCAAAACGTTCCACCCTGGCGCCTTTCAACGCTGCGATGGCCGGCGTCACGCCGATGCCGCCGGCGAAGAAGACGATGTGCTTCGGCAGCTGCTTCTGTAGGCGGTACTCGCCGCTGGGCTCCAGCAGGGGCGAGAATTCGCCTGCAGAGGGATAGACTGGATAGATGATGGTTAATAATACAATTGGTTAATATTATACTAATAGATATGGTTAATAATATGGTTGTCATTCTCAGATAATATTATACTGGTTAATAATAATGGTTAACCATCATCTATCCATGGTTAATAATAATGGTTAATTATGGTTAATAGTTAACTATCCATATTATTAATGGTTAATATATATCCATGGTTAATAATATGGTTAACCCATACGAATGGTTAATAACATGGTTATCATTCTCAGATGGTTAATATTGTACTAATAGATATAAATGATATAAAGATATTTGACCCATACTAATGGCTAACCATCTGAGAATAATAACCATCTGATGTTAACCTAGTGCTTCAAATACCCTCTGAGAAGGTGTTTAGACCCAAAAAAACAACTCCAAATACAGTCTCAGAAAGTGTTGGAGCTGTAGGGTATCGTTATTGTGGTGATAATGACCGTGGGATTAACCATTACTAATAACCATTATTAATAACCATTGGCCATGGTTTTATGCTGGTTATAATGATGATAACAATAACAATCACAACAAACAATAATGTGGTTAATAACTATTGAAATGTCCACGGTTAATATGCTAAGAGTAATAATGGTAACTAATAATGGTCAATGATGATTAATAATTGGTAATGACGGTTGTGCAATACTATTAGTGGTTTAAATTAAATGATAATTTGTAAATGATGCGGAAATCACAATAAGCGGATTCACTTGTTCATCGTGATATAACATGATATAACCGTTGCATATAAAAGCATCATAATCATAAGTACATGATCTGTATATATTAGTGGTTCATCATGGTGAACGGTGATTAATTAATCATGGTTGATAATGGTTGATTCCATCCCAGCTATTATGTGCATATGCCAATTGGGAAAAAACGTTTACAACTCGATGCCTATGAGGATCTGACAAGGTATAATTTTAATCCCATCCCAATAATGTCAAAATACTCTCCATAAACGCCCCAAAATGAACAGGCCAGTAGTTACCAAAACAGGAGTTTCTGAGTGGTTCTATTCACAGCACCGGGAAAGGAAAAAATATCAGTAGCTAAGTAGATAGTATGTAGATAGTATGTGCTGGATGGTAGATTTACAAGCGATCTCTGGGGGACTCCTTCAACCGTGGGGAGAAAGATGTGTTCCCCAGCAAAGCTTCGAATACAATATTTAAAAAAAACTAAAAAGCAACTAAAAATGGGTTTTAGATCGGTGATGTTCTGCTATTTTCTCCAGCCGACACCTGAGAAGCCATGGAAGATGAAGACACTCTCGGATTCCTCCACCTTGTTCAAGGCCAGCTTCTGGTGCAGGAAGGGTGTTACCAAACCATCCTGCGGCTGAATCTTTGCGGAGTTGACCCTGGAAATGTGGATTCAACTGCAAAAACGGGGACTTGAACCATAGAAACAGAGACAACCTGCAGGTTGTTTATCCCCATTCTTGCAGGATTTTTATCCTATTTCTTCTAGACTCATTGATGAACATTTATCCATTGCACCTAACATAAGCTGACATTAGTTCATCAAAACTCAAGAGGGAATAATCTCAACGAGTTGTAGCAGCCTTTGGGATCCTTTTTGGGTCAAAACATCGCATCCGCGGATTCGTTGCCGATGCTCCTCTTCCCATGCTTGAAAAATTCACTCGAAGTGTACCCGTACCCTTTGGTTGTCTAATATAGCAATGGTATAAACGGATAGAAATGGCCCATAGGAACAAATGCTTATGATTTTACCTACCAAAAATGGCGAGTTTCCATACGTTAAAATTAAAAAAGACGACGTTTTGCAAGTAATTGACCGCGAAGTCCCACTCTTCGGTGGAGAACACCCAAATTCCCTCTGGGAAACCCATTCCATGCCCCTCCCATCCCTCATCTTGATTCCCATCAAAGCATCCCATTGCCACAATTGATTTACCCTATGGTTTAGAGATGTTTAGAGCATCATTTCCCATTCAATTCAACAATGGAATCACTTTCGGGTACGCATCCGAATCTTTTCCCACAAACAGCACAAACCAAGCCTGTATCTCCCAGTTTCTAGGGGGGTGCCACCATTTACCACCTTCCAAAGCATCTATCCTCCGGTGAGCATTTTACAGTTGAACTAGTTCCCAACCATTTATCAACTACAGATAACTACAGTTGGTGGGTAATGTACCACTCATTTTCCCAACCATCTTCCAGATCACGGCATCACGGTGCCTTCTTATGTTGGACGCTGATCTGAAAGCGGCCATGCTCGTGGAACCAGCTGGGCTCGCTGGTCACCGTCCAAGTGCGCTCCACGGGCATGCCATCCTGGTGCTCCAAAACGTGATGTCGAGGGACGTGACTACCGGGTTTATGGGGGATGTAAGTATAAGTTATAAGTTGGATTATAAACCCAGAACGGCAGAACGCTTTATTTTTGTGTTTTTCTTCTTGGGACTTTAGCAGACTTGAAGTTTCTCTATCAACCATTGGGATGTTCCTGCTTCACGACCCAAAGATGCAGGCAGCTGGATGTTCCTCCCCAGGAGGAAAAAAGCTCGCCCAAAAAACCGGGGACCCCTACAGTATATCGCTGGTGGCTTTGAACCATCTCGAAATCCTATTTTTCCACATTTTTACACATTTTTGATATCATATTATGGGTCGTAATGGATCGTATCATCCATATTTGTCCACCATTTTCCCATCGTTCTCCCAGGACTGACATCTCGACATCTCCTTGGATAAGGCGGGAATTCCCAGGCGCACATGCTGACCGGCCTTCAACTTCAGAGAGCCTCACAGGGTGATTTGGGCATTGGTCAAGCCATTGAGTTGTGCCGTTTTCAGACCTGCGGTCATCTGTGGTCATGTCATTTCTTTGAACTCAGAACCATTCAATTTTTGCGGGGTTTGCTAATCATTTGTTTTGACCCACACCAACATGCTGTGAATTATATAGATTCTGAATGACAAACGAGAGCCATATTATGGAGAGTTTATTCTCTACGTATCTACATAACAACAACAATGACGACAACGACGACAACAAAAAAGACAACAGCAAAAGGAGGAATACGCAAACCGGCACACCCATCAACGCGTACGACCGCAGCACCAACAAAGATTTGGGGAGTGAACCCCACAAAACATTGGTCACCAGCTCACATTGGATTTCTAAGCTACCAAGATGGTGGGGTCTACGAATACCCAATGATACGGTACAGCTGGAAGTGAAAATTTTATCGTTACCCTTTTGGAATCACCCAGTAGCAATGGGTTCCAGTAAACCAAGTTGGGGAGAAACTGTGATATCACCAGCATCTGTGATAATCTGTGGATGTGGTGTTGGGGTAGGTCCCAAATCCCATGCCATTGCAAGGTAGTTTTGAATCTTCCCAGCAAAACAAATCTCAAAATCGTGTGAAAAGCGGGCACTCCGAGCAACACTTCACCCATTTTCCAACAAAAAAAATCACCCTTCCGGGATATTTGGCTGCGGCTCAAGAATCATTCAAAAATTGCATAGATTCTGGGTATTTCTTGGTTATCACTGAGTACTATATATAAATATAATATAGATAGTTGTGTCACTATATTATATAGATGTACTGTAGTTGACTTCAAGTTGATCTTCCCTTTTTCAGAGCCATCCCCAAAAATGGGGATGCCACACCTGGCCGTGGGATAGGGGCCAGTTGGAACTCGAAAGTGATCACATCCTCACATATTCAGCAGATTGGCAATCGGACATCTCCGATTGCCACAGATTGAATGGGAAACTCATCTCTACATAAATGGCTGATTTTCCTGCCAGGTGAGATTGTTGGGGGCTAATGGAAATGGCAATTCCTTGATATATCCCCAGACCCATGGCTTCAATCGCCACCAGGATCATCACTATCCACTGATCCACGGCCGGGAATGTAAGCAGCCAAAACGCGGGGACCAAGTTTTTTCATCGGTGGGTTAATAAATCCAAATATATATATATATATATACTGTGTATATATATATATATATTGTCCTGTATCAACAGAATGTCAGCCGGAATGAGCGAAGACAATTAGTCCATCTTTTACCTGACAGAAGAGATTCGCAACATCACCAACTCCGGGACAGATCGAAACACCTCAAAACCTTTCGGTCCTATGTTTGATTGGGATGACGAACATCACCCCATGCAACAGTTGCTTAACAATGTTCACTAAATCCCCAGAGTTTTTGATCCACGTGCAGCTTGCAATTTTTGATGACTGGGCTGCAACCCCTGACAAGTGGGCTTGTAAACCAACTCCTAGAGACTTCGTAGCGTCCAAATATCATTCATCCACCACTTAAACCCCAAGTTCCAATGTCCCGTGCCCGTGCCCACTGGGTCCTCAGATTCGGGTTTCGCCCACTGCACCCTGGCGTCGAACTCGTGGCTCTTGGCTCCCGACTTCAACTCCCGCATCGGTGTGGGGTTGTAGGGACTGAGCTCCACTTTCTCGTACCTGTGGCTTTGCAAAAATGCCAAGGCCAACACCCCCCAAAAATGCCCATGGCTTGATGGGTATCCATGGGTTGGTTGTTTGGGAACCAAGCATTTGGCCAGGTGTGATTTGCACTATAGGTGTGTATATATGGATGCAACCCAGCCTAAAAGCTGACCTGTTACAAGAGTCCAAAAAAGGCGTCCCCATCAACGCAGCCCTTTTCAGGGCACTGGTGCGGACAGTACTGCGGGATGCTACGGACAATCTCCACCTGCCAATCCGTTCGTGAGATTGTGAGATTGTTGGAGGTTGTCCATGGACTAAACCCAAGGGGATTTAAAATCCAGAAAAAAAACACTAAACACAGGGAAACAGTGGGGGGAATTTCACCCGAAAAAAACGCAACACCCATATTTACACCAAAGTGGATCTACCCACCAGGAATCTCACGAAAACCAAGGACTCCGATTCAGCCCGGCACCTTGATGACGACCAAACGCAAGGCTTGCGGTTCATCTTCCAACATGGCTTGCAAGCCTGGAACCAGAGCAGCTGGTACCTGGCCCTGCTGGATCTCCTGACCGCTGCCAATGAGGGGTCAGAACCTCTTCATCGGACCATGGGTGATTCAGAGTCAATTGGGAATCTAATCTCAGTGTTCATCCCAAATCATCCCAAATCATCAAATGTTCATCCCCAAAAATCCATGTTCATCCCATGTTCATCCCATGTTCATCCCATGTTCATCCCATGTTCATCCCACATCCCATTCTCCACTGTTTCCTCCCCCTTTCCCTCCTCGCGTTCATAGGTCTCCGTCTTCCCCAGGATCTGCAGTCCGCGGCCAGTGTCGTCCCAGTCCACCACCAGCACACCGGCCTCAAATCCAAGTGGATCCACTTGGATCTCAAAAGGCCATCAGGACCGGTTGAAAATGGGAAGTCCATAGTTTTTTTTGAAATCCAATGTTTTTGGAATGATTGTTTTTGGGGGAAATCCAATGTTTTTGGAAGGTTTTGAAAAAAATATGAGGATCAATGTTGAAATCGGTTTGGAACTAGATTTTTATGTAGAAATATTGGAAATCTTACTGTGGAAAAAATGTGATCCCACCCCGATCATATTAAATACCCTCTGGGGAATAGATCCAATACTAAACTAGGGTCTATATAGGGGGAATATTTCATAGTCAGTTGATTTTAGGGGGTAATGGGTTCTTGATGCAACATATGAAAAAAAACAATAATATGAAATGATATGAAACATCATCTTGACCTCTACCCCTACCTGATTATACCATTTCATCACTGCTTTTCGCAGGATGGCTTGACCTCCCCTGCCTGTGGGTTCAGCTTGGTGTTGCCCAAGCTCATATAGAAACCGTTCCTGGGCGACTGCTTGGCGGTTTCAACCAGCCTGAAAAACATGTGTGATTTTAGGGAACATCATCCCAATTCTATGGTTGAACCCAGAACATATGTTCAAAACCACTATGTAATCAAATATCATCATCTTCTCATACTCTGCAGTAAACTCAGAAATGAGTATGAACCCCAGTGGAACCCATGATTATATCTTCGCTATCTTAACGGACCCTGCTACTGTCACCACACCAAGCTTCCCCACATAGTCCGGCCAGGCCAAGAATTGACCATCGGCCAATGAGCGCATGAAACCGGCTTGACCTCCTCGGATGTTCATATCTGCACCATGCTCCGGATGTCCCGTGCCCAGGTACATCATATCCTGAAGGCAACTGATTGGCCCATTGGTCAACCCCAAATGTATCATTTCATCCCCATGGCCAAGTTATCAACATATTTCTTTGCCAATGATTGTAACAAAGTTGCGGATCCAATATGAGGAAGTCATCCCGACTTCCCAAACTTTACACCACCATTTCCAGTGATGTTGGATCCCAAGTATGAAACAGCATGATTCATACACAAAATCAACATGATTTACTGCATGTTCATCCTCGAATCCATCCATTGACTCTAACTTCTAGATTCATTCCGCAACTGTTTTAGTGATTCACTCCCAATTTTTGGTGCTAAATATCACAGTTAGTCTGGAATGCATTAACATCACCCGCTATTCTTCCCAAATCAAACATGGTTCCAAATCCTCAACCACACAAAACACCTCCAAAAGAAAATCCAACCATGACCAAGTATACAGTTGGTCGGTTAGTCGCCAGATGTTTTCTCCATGTTCCGCATCTTCCAACCCATCCAGTCCGTCTTCTCCAACAGCGCCGCATCCTCGCTGCTCAGCTGCTGGTACTGCTGAGCCTCACCTGCGGTGACACCTCCCAAGTTCTGCCCCGTGCGTCGCAGGCGCCGCCGGGTGATGTACTTCGGGCAGTTGCCAAAGGCCTTTCAACGGATCTGGTGGCGACTCCCCAAGGCTGCAGCAAAAAACCTGAAAAAAGCTTGGAAATCCCGGGGATCATGGCATTTCTTGGGGGAGAAAATGTCAACTTTCTGCAGTTTGGGCACCTGGAACAAGTGGCTCTTGGATGCTTTTGGGAGTTTGGAAGGGGATCTTGGATGGTGCTATGTTTCATCGTGAACGTGTAACATCCCCCACTCCTTTTAAGGTGGTGAAGATCCCCAGTCACCGGCGGCCAAAATATTTGTGTCCCCCATGGTTGGGACGAACCCAGATCATATCGTTGGCGGTATAGCCCATTATATCCACCTAAATTCTGGTTGGTTTCATATATATATATATACCATTGTTTTTTTCGGGACAAACACCGAACAATTTATAAACCGTTCCACTTTGTAACATCACTTCTGGAATGTTTTGATAAACTTGGTGTGTCCCCATGTTTTCACAACATCAAGCCCAGCGACCTGCAGGATTTTCATGGCGTTCCCCGAGCCGTTAAGCTCCAGCTGGCCGTTGAAGCGATTCCGGCGCCGCGACATGAAGTCCTCCCAGCGAATCCAGTTCACCAGAACAGGATGGATTGAAACCGGCCAAATTTGGAGGGAAAGAGGTCTATGGCAGAGGGGGCACATATTCTTGGACAAGTTGGAACATCATCGAACATTAAATGGAAGTTCAACCCCTGATCAAATCTCCGGCTCCGGAGCTGTGAGGTCATAATAACATGTGTCAGGCGATATGGGGAGCTACATGTCGATCAAAACAAAAATTGGGGAACTGAAAAACCCAAACTCAACTGGAAATATCAGCAATCATAGTGGGGATTGATGCAAGCCGCTGTGATCAAGACAACACTGGGGAGTTCAAACTCACAAAATGCGGATTGAGCTCACAAACACCTGCAAAGAAATGGTGGGTCCTCTACATACCCCGTACTAGTAATCCTAGATTTGGCCAGGCAAACAAGGCAAAGGGTTGGGATTAATCCTTCAAGTTGATGGACTTGAATCATCGCGATTGATGGCAAGGTTCAATGACTGATTAATATCAAGCATCTAGTCCAAGATTATACCATAATCAAATAGAACCATTTAATCACCAAGACTAAAGTCAATCACGAACCATCTGCCAAGATTCAATGGTCACACCGCCCATCAAAGTGCCATTCTTCACCTTGTTCCAGCCGTTTGTGGCAGCTTGAGGCGTGTCTTGGTATGGTGACCCAACGTGGAGAAGGGAACAGCAACGTTGATCATCTTTGGAATATCAACCCTGGCTGAAAAGGCTGTCACAGCAGAAGAAAACCACTTCCCTCCGGAGACATTACTTGCTGCCAAACACGATCACTCATATCCCATTTTGTATTCCTATAATATATATATATGTATTTATTTGTTTATTTAGTTAGTTAGTTAGCTAGCTAGTTAGCTAGTTTGTTAGTTTGTTAGTTAGTTAGTTAGTTATTTAGTTAGTTAGTTAGTTAATTAGTTATTTACTTATTTATTTAGTTAGTTAGTTTGTTATTTAGTTAGTTAGTTAGTTAGTTAGTTAGTTAGTTAGTTTGTTTGTTTGTTACTAATATATATATATATGTATATATTATAATATCACAAGAATAACATAATATCACAAGAATAACATAACATAATCTAACACTGAACACTGGACTTCGGAAACAGTTTGGTTTGGAATTCCAGTCCGAAGTCACATCATCCAACCTGCTTTCTTAATCCCCAGCTCCCCAGCAATCTCCCCGTTTCGCCAGGTGGCTAACCCGTTCACCGCCGCCCCATCCCTCGGGTCCAGCTGGGCGTTCAGTTGGATCTGACGCCCACCGTGCTGCGGAAGCGCAAAGCCCGGCGGAGCGAAAAAGGCGGAGGGCCAGACACGTCCATCCTGACGCCCGATGGGATGACCCCTGGGATGATTTTTTGGGAAACGAACCGCTGGAAACGTAGGGAGTGAATGATCCAATCCAGTGAAATATCAAGGCTTTTCCCTTGTTGCAGTAGTTTCGGGAATTGCTAAGATGAAATATCACCATATGGGCCATGGTCACAACATGGTACATGGTTTATGGTAATTTATTTCATAATGGTAATTCTTACATATATATATATAATGATTATATAATGGGTATACAAATCCCCATGAATGGATTTATGACCAATCCCTTTTATCGAAAACAACCAATGTTTTGACCATCGAAAGCAACCAATGTTTTGACCATGACACATATGGTCCAGCAAAACGAACAATTCTAATACATAACAAAGGCCACTGTATTGAGGATTGATGGGATATGATGGGGATAGAAGCAACAAGTACCAACAATATGATTATGATGAAATGGAGCTTTCTTGACTGTCTGAACCATTCGCTTTGGGGGTATCCGCTCTTCAATTTATAGGAATCACAATGGACGATTCCAGGAACTAGTTCCTGACTATGATTCAGTTCAATGGATTGGTTTTCTTGGGAAAATCGAAACCGAAAGCCGTGGTGAAATTAACACCGAATATAGAGGTGAAACCACGGCTTAAAACTTTCCCTTCGACCAATTTTGGACATGTGTGCAAAATGTGGAGCGGTAATACTTGGGGTACAAGACTATTGTTGGGCTAAAAATGATACATCAGCCAATAAAATCATGGGATGTAGTGACTGTCCTGTCAAACGAGACAGTGAATATTCTGATTGGCTCTATCCCCATTTTTGGTTGGTAATGACGCGATCCATTTTTTGCGAAACCCCCATCTCACTGTCATCCAATGTTTCCTTGGTAAATCAGAATCGCACCAAACAGGAAAGACAGGGTTCCTGTTTCATGAGCTCCAGTGGATGTTTTTCGGTTGAATGGGCTCTAACCACTTACTGTCAAGCTTTTAAACCTGGAACTGATTTGAAACCATCCAACGGTGTCCCCAATCTTTACCCTCTGGTTATTCAACAGTTCGCCATGGTATAGGTGGCCCATAGAAATAGATGGTTTACCTACAAAAAAATGGTGATTTTCCATGGCTATGTTAGGCATAACCAGATGGTACCCAAAGGCAGAACTCAAGGGATCGACGTAAATTATATATAGTATATAGTATATAATATATAATAGATTAACCATATATTAACCATATGAACTCTATCATTTAGGGCTCTCAATGAACTGTAGATCGAAGCCAGCGGACAGCGGAACAGCGAGTCCTCCCCTAAGAAGGAAGCCATGAAGTGCGGCTGGGGGCTGATCATGTCTTGGTAGCTCTCTGGAATGACCTGCAGAGATCCGTCTCAAGACTGTGGCTGAAATAAAAACATTTCAATCAATGCGTACCACATTTCAGCATGGGAGAATGATACCACATATTCTCATGAAAAATGTTCCATCAAAGCCACTGGCCATGTTGTTCGTTCACTCTTTTCCAAGCACTTCCAGACCTTCCACTTCCAGCACTTCGACCGAACCTTGTGGTAGATGCGCGGTCCCATCTCATCACTCGATGCCACCGTCTTCTGCTGCAGTTGCAAGGTGCGCTCGCCCAAATGCCACGGTTGTCCCGGGTGCACTAAAGCGGCAGCCATGGACAGAACGACGCGAAATGCGCGGAGCTCGGCGGAGCTCGGAGAGCGCACAGAAATTTGGAGTAAAGAAACCAGGCTGCCATGGTGAAAATAATGGCCCAATAGAAGGTTCACAACGGTATCGTCCCATCCCGCGATCGCCGTTTGGTAAGGTTTCGCTAGTGGAACATGTTGCAACACATCGCCATGGGTCAAGATGACCAATCCCCAAAAAGTGACAAAGAACCCATCTTGTCGGTCCAGTGTTACCCGATAATATGTATGTATATATATATATATGATAAATATATTAATAAATCAATACACAAATAATAATTATTAATAACATATATATATACATATACATGCGCATATATAATACTGTAATCTATCTAGCCAATGGTAGAAAACAACATAACCATCATACATAACCCATGTTCAGCTACTATTCGGCAGTCAGCTGACCAGTCAATAGATCTGTCTAAGAAGGCCGAGCTGTGCACTTTTGTGGCCACAGTGGTGGCTGGATATGTTCATTCAAATTTGGTCATCGAAACTAAATGGATGCGCCATTTTTCTGGTGAAGTACGGTGGATGGTTGCGAAATCCTGCACCAGTTGATAGATGGTTTGTCCCAATCATTATGTATAGGGGTCTACAGTAACCATCCAAGGATATCCAAGGTGGTTCAGGATTTCGCACCCATCCACAGTATTTCCAAGAGACATCTTAGATAGGAAAGTCCTCATGATGGGTCAGTAGCCCACCTGGCGGATCAAATGATCCAGAAAAAATAGCCTCCAAAAACAGTTGGAAAAAGCTTCATCCAGCCATCCCAGAAATAGAGTTCTTCAATATTAAATCAAACATGATCAAACATCTGGATGTGTGTCAGTTCACGATGGCACCCTCCAAATCAGCCACCAGTTTCTATAGCTAGTCACCTAGCATGACCTCACCATGACCTCGCCTGGGCAGAAACTCAGGAAGCCAACTAAGCCAACACCACCTGGTGATCCGCTCCGCCACAAAAACATGGAGAAACTCCGAGCAGTCGAGCAGTCGGCATCCAAGTAGCGGGGAATTCATATTGGCCCGACTTTAAAGCAAAATTGTGAATGATCATATGCCAACTATGGACTTGACTGAAATACTTCGCATCATCCTTGTGTGTTGCACCCAACCACCTCGGACTCCAACCTTAGCTAACTGGAGACGATGTGCTAACTGAAGTTGGGGAAAACATCCATGGATTTGATGGGTGTTTTTGATTGGCATGTGGTCATATTTATTAATACTGTGTATATATATATATATATGTGGTATTCCATGGGTGCGTCGGCAATTCTATGAATACTTAATTGGTATACAATTGGTATGTTGATAATTTCATTATATCGTTGGGTACAATTGCTATATCATACGTAGGTATACGGGCAATTTTACTGGCATGAGCATTTAATTTACATAGGATGGGGTCAAAAAAATAAGTGGTATATCATATCGGTAAATAATGCTTTATAATATAGTTGGCAGTTGTTGGCAAACAAATAAAGTGTCCGTGAATAATCCAATTTCATAGTATAGTTTGTCAATAGGCAATTGACAGTAAAGTAATGGTAAGTTCAGAGGATGTTTCGAAGAAAAACTCTGAGTTTCTGGTGCGTTCTTACTGTTACTGTCACGTCAACTTCACATAATCTCAGCTCACATCATTCCAAATTCACACCAGCTCAACTTCACATCATCTCCACGCCCCTCCAGCATATGAGCCACGGTGGAAATTTAGTGAGCTTCCATCAAGTGTGTCAACAAATGAGTGAGTCCCCTTTCTGGTTTTACAGGGTTTAGGGTTTTTGCCTACGAGCGCGCGGGTTTACTCATATATTATATCAATGTCACATCGTCTCAACTGAAAAAATCTGTGAGACTTTGCGTTCCACAAAGTTGCACCAAGTTGGGCACCGAAAACGTGTGTTGTTGTTTCTTGGGATTTAATATATTAGGGGAATTGGATGGATAAATCATGGATGATCTTGGATTATAATGGATCATATCCCCATATTATATATATATATATGATTTATATGGGAATATATGGGAATATATGGGATATAAATTGTATATATATATATAATTACATGGAAGTTTCTAGCTGGACAGCTATGGGGAAACAAGCATAAATGTCGTCGTACGACCTCGTGGCAGATCTACCACATCCGGTCCTCCAGTCATCCCCCGTCAATTTTCAGCACCGAAGCAAGGTGGGGTCATCTACAAGTCCAGCAGCCTTGTGGGTTAAGGAGCAACTGCAGCCCGCTTCTGTAGCTCAGCTGCTTCAGATTCCTTGCCCAGGTCCTGCAAGAGGTCTGCCAAACGCTCAATGGATCGAAGGGTGCTCGGATGCTGGGATCCCAGAATCCTTTCCTTCGCATCCAGAGCCTGTCTTTGCAACTCCTCCGCTTCAGAAAGGTGTCCCATGTTGTGTAAGGCCAATGCCAGGTGACTGAGGGATTGCAAGGTCTCGGGGTGTTCCTTGCCCAGGGTCTTTTCCCTGGCATCCAAGGCCCTTCGGTGCAACTCCACACCTTCGCTGAAGTTTCCCATGTCCGTCAAGGCAATCGCCACATTGGTCAGAATGTGCAAAGTCAATGGATGCAAAGGACCCAAATTCCTTTCTTTTCTGCTGAGGATCTGGCGGTACGAGTCAACAGCTTCACTGTACCTGCCTGCGCCGTGCAGGAGACATGCCAGAGAGTTACTGGAGTCCAGAGTGAGACCGTCTTCAGGACCGAACACCCTTTCAGAGGCATCTTTGACTCGCCTGTACATCTCCTCGGCCTGAGACTCGTTGCCCGTGGCATGCAGGACTTTGGCAAGTCTATATAAGGATCTCAAAGTCTCTTCGGCTTCTGGACCCAACCATTTCTCATTATACTTTAAGGCACGGCGCTGCAGCTGTTCAGCTTCGCAGTAATTGCCCATTTGACGAAAGATATCTGCCAAGAAATCGGCACTATCGGCAGCCTGGTGACTCCCATGGCCATATCTTGACTCACAAAATGTCAGCACCTTTTGCACCACGGGCAACGCCTCCCGACCCAAACCCCGCATATAGAGCACGGCGCCTAGGCGCCACTGGGCAAGCCAGTCTGTCGTCACACTGGCGCGGGTACGCAAGGTGTCCAGTAATCGTGCACGTGCATGGTGGACCTAGGCTTGCCGGGAATGAAACCGTATGCAAGAACTGGAAATGAATGGACATCCTACAATGACACGGATCTCCTATCTTGCTTCTTGGCCAGTTGCTTTCAGGTCAGGATAATGATGTGTGATGTCATATGTGTTCCTTTTGTTTTCGCTACAGCAATGTATTCATGACGTATTCACGTTGTAATTTGTAATCATTATATTTCATGATGTAGTCATGGTGTATGTATTTGTTGTGTGTTCGTGGTGTATTTGTCATGTATTCCTGCATGCCTGTGCTCCATATGGAAAGATTCAAGGCAATGAATTGGGGAAACTGTCTTATCTTTGCCGATCACATTGCCACATGTTCGCACAGTAAACTGATCATTTTGTTCTTGTTTTGCCAAGCGCAGGCCAGACAGGCTGAGCGCAGAATCCAACGTAAACATGCATAAATACTGTGCCAGGGGGGTGAAACTGATCTCTACCTTGCAGTGCCATGTCAAAAAACGTTGGTGTAGGAGACAAACATGAAATTAGAAACAACTCAAAGATGTCAAGGGTGAGACAAAAGTAATCCCAATACCCACTGTGATATTGGCAGGGCAGGGAGAAAGCCCTTTGCTTTCGGTGATGATTTTCGGTGACGATTTTCGGTGACGATTTGCCACAATTTTCGGTGATGATTTCGGTGACGATTTTCGGTGATGGATCACGAGAAGACTCCAATTCTCTGGCAAGCTAGGTCGTTGACTAGCTGTCTATGCGCAGGATTATCTATGTCAAATGGGTGTGGCTGGTTCAGAGTTTGATAAGCATCATCATATGTTGTTGTTAACCATTGTTGTCGAGGTTTTCCGGGCCGCTTACGAAATTCCAATCTTGGAATTAAAGCTCCGTTTTCAAACAGAACTTGTCTCATAGGGTCACTAGGCGCAGATCTGATAATATGACCAAGAAGGGAAAGTTTGCGTTGTTGCCAAATGGATGAGAACATTCTTAGGTCCGTGTTCATGTGGTTTCTAATTTGAGATTTGATAAAATCATTTGTTATTGTGCGGTCGATATATGTGGGGGGTAAATGTAGGATCCTTCGATATCCCTTCAACTGAAAACTATCTATTCTTTTCTGATCTGTCAAATTTAACTGTATGGTTTCTAATCCGTATAACAGCTTACTTCTGAGGATAGAATGAAAAACTTGAACTTTCCATTTGATGGATGTCTTCGCTTTGTTCCAAAATAATTTGAGTTGATTACATGTACGGGTACAATCAGCAATCCGGTTCATAATCTCTCTGTGGTTGTCCACGGTGTCAGTGAGCAATGTACCTAAATAGAAGGCTGACCTTTTTCTCGGGACCGGTGTGCCGTCCAAGTATTTGATGGATGATTGTTTTTGATTTAGTGTGAGGTTTACGCATTTGTCTAAGTTCAATTCCATATTGTAATATTTTGATTCTAGCTGTATTTCCTTTAGCAGCAGGTTGATATGATGAGTATAATTCCCAAAGATAAGTGTGTCATCCGCATACAATATTTCAGTATATTCAATACCACTTAGAGGTTCTTTTTGCTTTGGTGTGGTCAGTCTTTGTTTGATATCATGGAAAAGGGTTGACATTAGGATAACGAAGAGGTAGGGTGATAAAGGACAACCTTGTCTAATTCCTGAACGTTGTGTTCTGTAATTAGAACTGTGTCCGCCGGTTGCGACTCTGAATTTAGGAGAAGAATAGATATGTTCAATGGTTTTAAGCATCCTGGGCGGTACCTTTAATCTACGAAGAGCTTGTAGAAGTTTTGATTGGTTTATTTGTTCTTGTTTCACCACCTCTACATCTTGCCCGTTGTGGGATATCATGGAATCACTTTAACAAAAGATCTCTGCCTCACTTTATGGTATGCTTTTCCATTTCATCCTCTTCTGGGCAGGCAGCAAGATCGTAGAGCGAAGGGACTGGCTCCTACTAAAAGTAATTCAACTTGTCGGGTTATTGTACTGTCCAGTCTGCAGTTGTGGTACATGCAACGACTTAGACAGCATGTCTTTCTGTCTCAAAAGACATAACTTGCCTGCGAAACAGCGTGTGCCCCACCAGACCTTGTCTCTATACCGATGCCAGACAACATGTCACAAGACATATCAGATATATCAGATGAACGTGTCAGAATAAAGACAAGAAGTCAAATGTCAAAATATGGCCAGGAGACATGTTAGCTGACATGTCAGAAGAAAATGTCAGACACACGTGACAAAATAATATGTTTAAACTCTAAACATATTGTCACATCAAATGATATGTCAGAATAATTTATGTATGCTGATGAGATGTCCATGTCTACTGTGAGGATCACACAAGGCAAGGAACTCGAACATCTATAATATTATATATATATGATACAGCAGAATGTCCGACCTGCTTGACATCCAAGCTGCGCCATCTTCACCAGAGACTCGGAGCACAACGCACCAGCGGGGAGGCATGCCAGGCTCATTCAGAAGTTTGTCGGCAAGGTTCCTGCCCGGTTCCTTCCCCGCAGCCTCCATTTCTGGTGTCGCTTTCTTGGAGACATCGAAGGCATTGCATGCATCGATCAGAATTGGGACGCAGAATGCGGCCCTCTTGGGGTACTCGCGATCTACGTACTCAGGACCCCTTTCTGGATCCTCGCGGTCCCGCCGCATCATGTTACGGAAATTGTTGTCCAGCAACTGCTCCCGGTTTTGCCACTGGTCAGGAGGCAACGGCACAGTGTAGATCCCTTTGCCCCACCAAGCATTAGCATTGGGCCCATCTGTCTTCAATGATGCCCAAACCTCTGCTGCTTCTTTGGCCGGGTGAGTGATGTTTCGGAAGGCAATTTCACTGGTATAATGAAAGTAAACCTCCCCACCATGACCCGAGGTGAGGTCAATGGCATCTTGCCAAACTTGGATTCCTGTGGGTCTATGGAACCAGGTCCACATATCAGCCTCCCTACGCCACTCGTAGTCAACATGCCAGAATTCTCCTCCCTCGCGGTAGTGATTCTCAAAGTAGTCCCGCAAATTGCTTGTCCTGAGATGAACTCAAGCGTGCCGTATGCAAATGGAAATTTGTTTTTGGGTTTTTTTTTATGTGCTGGGATCTGCGATCACAGTGTCGTTACGGCACTTCAATCTATTTGAAATTTCATTCTTGGATTTTTGGGCCCTTGGGTTGGAAACCAATGCTATCAAATGTGTGTGGGTCCTGATGTTTCCTGTAGATATTCCTAACCATTTGGACTGTGTCGGTCAGAACACACCTTGGTGTTAGTTCGCGGAGCTGGCGGTGAACTACTGACTCAATGAACACATGCATGCACGATTTAGTGAGTCGAGGAATTAGTGAATCAATGAATCACTGATTTCAATGAACCAATGAATCAACCAGCCAATGAACCAATGAATCAGAGAATCCATGAATCAATGAACCAATGAATGATGGCAGAATGAGGGGATGGATGGGTGAATGAATGGATGGATGGGCGAAGTACTTTTGTTTGGTGAGCTGCTTCTTCACTGAGCGACCTCTTCGCTGAGGCACCTCTTTTCTTAGCTACTTCTTCTCTGAGAAGCCACTTATCTGGGCTACTTCTGCCTCCCAGCTAGCTCTTTGCAGCTTCTGCAACTCAATTCTTCTCTTCGCGCAGCTGTTCAATTCACGCGTTACCGAGCTGTTGCTCTCCTCTACTGCTCCCAGACACGAACTGCTCTTGCTTATTGTTGACACAATGACAAGACTGCCCCTGGACATTCATCCGGAACTCGGAAGTTTTCGAACTAATTAAACTTCCTTCGGTCAAAAGCCACTGGTCCATCTGTGGTTCCCATGGATCTAAACTTGCGACCAACACCCCAACGCTGCAGCCGAGTTGCTTTGTAGGACCATTTCGCTTTGACAGTACCTGTCAGTGTGCCCTACAAAGAGTCCGTAGCTGTATTTCATGATATCTGAGATTCGTCCACCACAGAACATATCAAGTTCTTTTAAACTTACATTGCAGCCCTTGATGCTGACCTATCTTTTGGCTTGTGGCTAAGAAACGGGCTGGCCTGGACATCAGAAAATGATAGAAAACTTGTGATTTTGAGTCAGTACCCATGTGGCGTGCAGCTGCATGGCCCAAGGGCTCAAATGAGGAACAATCTTCCAACCCATGGCGGCTATGATGGGTGCGCCGCCAAAGGGACCCAGTGGCAGTCCACGTTTTTTGTCAAGTAATTATCATCAATTTAATTGCTACCTCCAACAGTAACTATGTACTGGACAATATACATTATGTTAAATAGTATTACATACAAGTATTACATACAGTATATACATATTGTAGCTCCACCTACTTGATCTAGCAAAAGAAAACACAGGGCGCGACATGTCACATTGATGGTTTCTGACACCTAGTGCATCATGTTGGGGATGCCGCCATCTAGAATGATTCGCCTCTGCCAGTTGCAATACTACGATTTGCTTTAGCTACAAGTGGCTTCAAACCCCGTTCACCTGATAAACACCCCGGGTGGAAGGCACTGTAGCTGGAACCCAGTAGATAAACTATTTATATAATGTATCATATAATGTCATATTTGGTAGGTCCCTATCATGGCTTATCACTTTACCAAGAAGCGCCATCCGCGGCCCTCATCCAGACCGGCACGTCCCCTCCCAAAGGCAAGGCCTGTGAGGAAGTGGTTTCCCGAAAAATGAGGTCCAAGAAGTTTTCGACACCTGGGGCACTAGGGATGGACAGCGCGGCTCTTCATGCAGCACCGGTGTAACCACGACACGAGATATTGGAGTATACGGCTTGGGAATTGGCATTTTTCGTCAGTGAAACCTTATTGAGACATACTTGGGAACCAACATGTGACACTACATTGAACTGCTTCATGATATACTTCCAGCTGGCTGCTATCCTCAGTGTCCATCGGTCCATGGTTACTCCGACACATTTCGAATCTCCGGGGCTCAGCCAAAGCCGAACCCAGCCCAATGACCTAACCGTCCTTCATTATATGAGCTGCCGTCAAAATCAATTGTTTACGCCCGATGCCTGGTACAAAAATATAAGTTATCGGTTTTGGAGGGGGGCCTATCGCTCTACAGTGTTTTGTTCAAATCAACACTAAATAATGCACAAAAATACAGCGGAATTGGCTTCGCGGATTCAGATCGCTAAACGCCGGGGATGGATTAAGGGGCGCTCGTTGTCTTTGCGCTTGCAATGCTTGCAACCAAGTTGGATAGCTATCTAAGCACATTACTAGACTCTTTCCTAAGCAAGGAAATTGTTACAATCTCAACTCCGAACTAGAAAGACCCTAATTAATTAAGATCAATGGTTCCCAACGGTTATAAGATCACTAATTCTATGAAAACCAAAAATGGTCACCTCGGCCTTGTCCCTGTTTGAGTAAGCCATGGCGTCAGAAAACGCCACACTTCCCTGCTCAAAAGCTTCAGAAATTGAAGCTGGGACCTCATCGTTCCAACAAAGAAGCGTTCGTAGCTATGAAGAAGTGCATTAGGCTTCCCAAGTCTCAATACCACCTGATGGCCTCGTGTTGAACCTGTTCACTTTTTTGTTCAGCCCTTCTTCTTGGGATCAAATGAGTCTATCCCTCGTCTGGGGTCCCTTTTTCAACAGGTTATCGCTAGGTTTTCGCGAAGGTTGTCGCTAAATTAGAACACTTTGATGATCAAGAAAGGAAAGGAAAGAGGAACATAGAACAAAAAGGGCAATTGAAAAAACAAAAGGAAAAAGGAAGGAAGGAACAAGAAAAGGAAACTAAGGAAGAAGCAGGGACAAATCAAACAATAAGGAAATAAAATGAAATAAATGGAATTCAGAATTGGATTCAAAACCAAATTTGATTTAGTTCAGAATTCAACTGATTTCAATTGCATTTAGCTTTTAAAGGAAAATAAAGGAAAAAGGAAGGAAAGAGAAAGAAAAGGAAACAAAGGAAGACGCAGTTCGAATTAAATTAAAGCACATAAAGGGAATTCAGAATTAGATTTCAAGCTATGATTTGCTGATTTGCTTTAATTCAGAATTTGGTTGCATTCAATTTAGTTTAATTCTACTGCCTTGGGACCTGGGAAGAAAAAAACAAACTGCCTGCAGAAAGCAACGGTTCAATAACCTTGGACAACAAATGATATGGCAACTGCAAGAAACGTGGGCACTGCAGGTTGAATTTTCTTCATTGCATGAAGGCGCACAGCAATATTAGCTTGGTTTACACCAAGTATGGTTACAGGTTATCGGTTTTGGGGGGGCCTATCGCTTTACATGGTTTGGTGCACTTTCCCAACACGACTGGAGCCTCCCTTACTAAAGTAGTCTACGCTTATTTTGACGGTATCTCATATACTTTAAAGGGGTTCCCCAAGAGAAAAATGCATTTGTTTAATCGTTTAATCATTTTGTGATGATGTTTCACTTCTTCTTGAGGATTTGTAATATTTGCACTATATTTACCAATCCCAGTGGGTGACACTCGCACACCAACTCATGATACCAAAATTGGTTATCAAAGGAAAAAATCTAGACAAAACCATCATTTGATGCTACATTGGATGGTAAAAACCATGGTTTCCTGTGATTTTTCCCCGAAATCAAGACCAAATAAAGTAAAATCCATGCCGCCTAAGGTACTGAGATGTGACTCTTGATCCTACCGCTCGACGGCCGTGGGTGAGAAACACATGCAAGCCATGGGCCAAAACCCTGTGACTTTCCGTATGAAAGTTTCATAAATCATCCAAGTCAACCAAGTCATTGCTATCTTTTTCTTAGCGGAGAACCACAAAACCTCGGAAACCACCATGGGGAACCCACACCCACAAGATATGGCTATGGTCTCACATCCTTGGCCTTTGCGTTGCCAACATGGGACCATACAAAAAATGTGACGCCCAAGTTTACAGCATGCTGACAGAAAAACGTGGACGGCACGGAAATTGTGGTGATAACGCAATGGCAATTGAAATCCCTATGAACGGTGATCGCTAGATGACTTATGATGCCTTGAATTCCTCGAAAAGTTAGGCTCATTCCCTGCTCAAGTCCTTCAGCAGGGCACGCGCTTGCTTCTCTGTTCCACCGATGGTCTGTAGAAATCTGATCCAGCCTACAGCTGAGCTGAGGATGGCAGAAACATCTACAAATGTCCAATTTTTGCCATGAGGCCAAGGAACAGCATCCAGCATAGATCTGATGGATTCTTGCGGTGAATCACATGGTGAATCACATATGATGTATCAAATACATCATGCATGGCATGGTGGGATGGGTCAAATCCTACACCTTGCGATGGCACCGCCGCAGATTGCTTTGGAAATTTGGGATCCCGTAATTTCTAGTCACTTCTAGTCATTTGGGTGACCACTTCTCATGGCTAATGACAGTTTTCCTTCTTGGCCATAACTTGAAGGTTTACTGTACCCCACTTTCGAACCATTTGAAAGCAATGATCGACCATGAAATTTCGGGGGTCCCCGCTTTTCAGACAAACCCAAATATCAATCACCAAAATCTCAGAAATTGAGCTGACCAGTCTCAGAAAAAACATCGGAAGCTGAACGTGACCAGACCCTGGGTCAAAATAGTGGAGCCCACAATGGAAAAGTTGGAACCCCAGCCCAGTTCCATTTACTTCATCATGTTGCCTATATATTTGATTGCTTGCATTTTGGACGTGACTGATAAAATGACGAATCTTGAGGGGATTATTCTTAATTCACAATGGACATGTTTGAAACCAGCGACCATATAGGATTTGGTGGTTTGCCAAATTGTATAAGCTGGTAAGGATTATTTGATTCTACTGGATGATCTTAGCGTTTTTCCCGACAACAACCCAGAAAATGAAAACGCTTGAAACCACCACGCAACCCAAGTTTTGCGTGGAATTCCCCGGATTTTCTAGAGTTTTCCCAGCATTGTTGGGCAACTCCACGTTGCACATTGCCGAAACAGCCCGCCTTCCTTGGGCAGAACGCCTTTGCGTTCTGCCAGGGTCGAACACAAGATTTTCTCCACCGCGCAACGGCTGCAGTCCTGACAGATGGTGGAAGTTGGTTTCGGGTGGCTTCATTTTTGTGTATTCAAAAATGTCAAAGTCAACTGCAGCGGAAAAGTTCTTCTTTGAAATTGGGTTCCAGATAAGTCATCAGAATAATAATGAATAATAGCAATCACTGCGCAACCTGTTAGAAGCCGTTGGAACCTTGCAGCCTTCGACGTGGGTTGCTTCCGAGCGGCCATGCTTAGCAGGGGACAGCAGGGTCAACGGACCTGACAAGACGAGGCTAAAACGGGCCAGATTTCACTGGATCAAATGCTGATTGAATGGATATGCTTCATGTTTCACCAGTTTTCAAGGAACTGAAATTGTCGTCTCAAGAATATAGGGTGCCCATTCCAGCCCATGATTTCTCATCTTCCGAAGAAAGAGTGCTATAAAATGAAGAGAATCAAATTTCCCAGGCTCTCGCTGGCCTTCACGTATGCCACCGCATGCCCATGGCTGATGACATCAAGAACTGAAATGTTTGTTTGTAGAGCTTGTTGTCAGGGACGTGGGTGTATATTCTTACATCAAAGATACTGCAATATACCTCTTTTATATAATATATATATATATAATATGTGTGTACATACAATTACGATCAATTACGTTTATGTATGTTAATCATTGTTAATCAAATAGCTGGCCATCCCAAACGGAACAGGAAAGGATTGTGACTTCTAAAAGGCCTTTGTTCACACACTGATTTGCATAGCATCATAGCGTTTATCATTCAACCAAGTCAAAGCAGCAGTTTCAAGCGGAACATCATGGTCATTTATGTCTCACAAACTTCTCGCAGCCCGGGCCCTGTCTTTCTTCAAGACATCCCCGGAATAGTTGATGTTTGGGCAGTTTGAGCATAGGGAAGATGATGAACTTAAACCTCTTAAAGTGGAATTCCCAACGCTCCATCAAGGTCTTGCAAACATTTTGGAGAATCGTTCGGTGGGGTGTATTCCGAATACACATGCTATATTCAATCACAAGACGTGGTTCTTGAGGCAAAATTGCAATTGGCAAGCCACATGTGCCCGTGGAGTGTACAATGTTGACACCAACCTAGAAGCACATGTCTATGTGTTTTAATCTGAAACAAACATGTGAAATATGACTTCAAGAGTGCGGGTGTCAAAAAATGAACTTCAGCCTGCACTGGACCTCCACAGGTTCACACAGGTGATGTGCTCGGGGTTCCATGGCACTGAAATCCCCAAGTCTCCGGCTCCATGGCCGCGCAACGTTGCTTGGATGACTGCACCTGAAGTCAGCGTTCTGCCATGAAGAACTACTTCCCTGTGAAAACGCATAGAAGAAATGTTGACAAGTGTGCAGGGAATTTTCCGTATCGAGCGCAACTGTGGGAACATCGTCCTAAGGTCGCTTGTTCTTTACAGAAACTCGGGGGCCATTTTTGGCATCAGAAGTCATGATCTTACCAAGATGACCAAGTGCCAACGGACATCCAATGCTGACTTTCTAAATCTATTCTTCAAATAGTGGTCGACGTGTCGGGTTTTGCAGGAAATTGCGGGAATGAGCGGACTGAGGTGGACATTTTGCCAGTTTTGAGTAGCTGCCCCATCACCTTTCGGTGAGGAATTGAAACCCAAAGCTCTCTGTACAAGTCGACATTGAAATCATTGAAGAAACGATAAAACGTCATGAGCAGGTTGAAGTGCCATGAAGTGCCAACAGCACCTGAAAACTTGGCGGTTCAGGGAACAAGTTCTATCCGTTTCCACAGTTCGTCTGCTTCAGATTCCTTGCCCATCTCCTTTAAGAGGCGCACTAAACGCCCAATGGATCGAAGGGTGCTCGGATGCTGGGGTCCCAGAGTCCTTTCCTTCGCATCCAGAGCCCGTCTTTGCAACTCCTCCGCTTCAGGAAGGTGTCCCATGTTATCCAAGGCCAATGCCAGCTGACTGAGGGATTGCAAGGTCTCGGGGTGTTCCTTGCCCAGAGTCCTTTCCCTGGCATCCAAGGCCCTTCGGTGCAACTCCACGCCTTCGCTGAAGTTTCCCATGTCCGTCAAGGCAATCGCCACATTGGTCAGAGTGTGCAAAGTCCCTGGATGCAAAGGACCCAAATTCCTTTCTTTTCTGCTGAGGATCTGGCGGTACGAGTCAACAGCTTCACTGTACCTGCCTGCGCCGTGCAGGAGAACCGCCAGACCGTTACTGGAGTCCAGAGTGAGACCGTCTTCAGGACCGAACACCCTTTCAGAGGCATCTTTGACTCGCCTGTACATCTCCTCGGCCTGAGACTTGTTGCCCGTGGCATCCAGGACGGCGGCAAGGCTATATAAGGATCTCAAAGTCTTTTTGGCTTCTGGACCCCACCATTTCTCATTATACTTTAAGGCACGGCGCAGCAGCTGTTCAGCTTCGCAGTAATTGCCCATTTGACGAAAGATATCTGCCAAGAAATCGGCACTATCGGCAGCCTGGTGACTCCCATGGCCATATCTTGACTCACAAAATGCCAGCACCTTTTGCACCACGGGCAACGCCTCCCGACCCAAACCCCGCATATAGAGCACGGCGCCTAGGCGCCACTGGGCAAGCCAGTCTGTCGTCACACTGGCGCGGGTACGCAAGGTGTCCAGTAATCGTGCACGTGCATGGTGGACCTAGGCTTGCCGGGAATGAAACCGTATGCAAGAACTGGAAATGAATGGACATCCTACAATGACACGGATCTCCTATCTTGCTTCTTGGCCAGTTGCTTTCAGGTCAGGATAATGATGTGTGATGTCATATGTGTTCCTTTTGTTTTCGCTACAGCAATGTATTCATGACGTATTCACGTTGTAATTTGTAATCATTATATTTCATGATGTAGTCATGGTGTATGTATTTGTTGTGTGTTCGTGGTGTATTTGTCATGTATTCCTGCATGCCTGTGCTCCATATGGAAAGATTCAAGGCAATGAATTGGGGAAACTGTCTTATCTTTGCCGGAGAGTGCATACAAATGGACATGTAAACTGGGCAGCCGATCACATTGCCACATGTTCGCACAGTAAACTGATCATTTTGTTCTTGTTTCACCACCTCTACATCTTGCCCGTTGTGGGATATCATGGAATCACTTTAACAAAAGATCTCTGCCTCACTTTATGGTATGCTTTTCCATTTCATCCTCTTCTGGGCAGGCAGCAAGATCGTAGAGCGAAGGGACTGGCTCCTACTAAAAGTAATTCAACTTGTCGGGTTATTGTACTGTCCAGTCTGCAGTTGTGGTACATGCAACGACTTAGACAGCATGTCTTTCTGTCTCAAAAGACATAACTTGCCTGCGAAACAGCGTGTGCCCCACCAGACCTTGTCTCTATACCGATGCCAGACAACATGTCACAAGACATATCAGATATATCAGATGAACGTGTCAGAATGAATGTCAGACAAGAAGTCAAATGTCAAAATATGGCCAGGAGACATGTTAGCAGACATGTCAGAAGAAAATGTCAGACACACGTGACAAAATAATATGTTTAAACTCTAAACATATTGTCACATCAAATGATATGTCAGAATAATCTATGTATGCTGATGAGATGTCCATGTCTACTGTGAGGATCACACAAGGCAAGGAACTCGAACATCTATAATTATATATATATATGTATGTGTAGTCGGAGAAACATCGAAAGCGCGCCTTTTTCGCACGCACCCAAGGCCCGAAGTTCGAGCCACCACTCCAAAGTCAGAACACATCTGACATGTTAGGCAAAGTCAGAGCACATCTGACATGTTATGTCCAAATGGTTTCAACCGGATTGCATAGGGCTGGAATTCACACCGGCCAAACTCTCTTCGGTTGAAACCAGAACCAAAAGAGCATCTTGCTCTTCTCTAAAACCAATTTCGCTCAAGGACCATGTACCAGTTTTCATCACTTTTCGGAGGAAATTACTACCCATCTTTTTAGTCAAACTGTCAGAAATCATTCGGGTTCCTTCTATCCATCTGACTTGACCCTTGGTTTGAGAAAAATCCCTTTTGAGGATCGTCACATCGATCGCTGTCCTCTTGTCCTCGATGTGGGCACTGGTGTTGCAGCATTTGTTGATCGTGTCGTAGAGGGACTTCGAGTCTGTGACTGCGATGCAAGGAATTTCACCGATTCGCGTCTCCCAATTGTCCAAACGTAGATCTTGTCCATGAATCTCCTGGATGAGAAATCGCAGCCAATGAAGTGCACCAATTCCTTGAAGCATTGCCTGACACTCTGCTGAAAGAGTGTTTACAGTGCATCTTTTTATTCGAAAACTCTTCCAGTTCACGATCGATATGGGATATGATTTCTCCTCGGTTTCCATTCTGGAGTCATAGAAGAACGTGATGAAACCACCCTGGCTGGATAGTCGGCCGTGCTGTAAGAACTTGTCCTTGACAACTTCCGGCTTCGAGTCATTCTTTTTGAAGAAGATGGTCTGACCACACCATGTTTCATCTTTTCCTTGTCGATTGCTATCCTTGGTATTCCATTGGTCGCGGAGCTCTTCTCCATCCATGATAGTAACTCGTTCTCCTCCAAGCTCATAGCAGTTAGGCCCTTGGGGTGCTCCAGCGGGGTGAAATAGGAGTCGTCTGGGTTGGCGGTGATGTCGAATCCAGTACTTGTCTTTCTCCTCCCAAAAATCTTGCGTCTCCTGGTCGTTCTCCGGTCTCACATTCCCCCATGAAGCATCGGATACTGTGCCCACTCGAAGGTACTTCAGCGGAATGGGCTGGATCACTATTCCCAGCTGTTCATGCTTTACCGCCTCCTTGGCAAGTACATTGGCCTCGACCATGTCTTGGACGAAAGGTGTAGGCATCGATTGCTGAAGGATAGCCACTCTGCCGGCTATATCAGGCCGCGTCTCTTTAGCCAGCCAGGCTAAACTGCCTAAAAGGCCTCGTAACTGGGTGATCTCTGCCGGAGTACAAAAACTGTATCTTTCACGTTTCCTCTTTTTCTCGATCGGAATTGGTTCTACCTTCTGGGCAAAGAGTGGTTGGTGAACTAGGAAACTCCCATCCGTCTTGCACTTGATCTCCTTGCCCACGAATCGGCCATCGCCCGATGTGAATTTTCCCAGCTTGTAGTTCTTGTTCAACCACTCCATCTTGCGCCAGTGTGTCTCATCCCCTCCATGGAGGAGGTCATCAGTTGCCACGCTGATGATACCCTGTAACTTCTTCTCCTTCTTGTCCCAGAGGTAGAATAGACATGGATCACCAGCGCTCTGGTTGTATCCCAGGGTCTCGATCAGTATCCTTTTCAGGTGTTGGTACCAGGCGAAAGGTCCATCCAAGAGGCCGTAGCAGGTTTTCAGCAACCTTAGTAGTTGACGATCTTGGTATCCAGGAAGAGGGCATTCTGCAGGTTGAGACGCATAGATCTCCCTCTGGAGTTTGTCGCCGCTGTGGAAGGCCTGAGTGAAGTCTAAGTAGCCAGGTTTCCAAAGGTGGCTACATATGATCTGAAGGGTGCAGAGGACCGTGTCTCTTCCACATTGCGGAGTGGTTGTTTCCAAATTCTCAGAGTCTGTTTCGCTGAAGCCCTTCATCACATGCCGAGCCTTTGCCTTGGTGCTGTTCTCTCCCTCATTCTTGAGGAGTAGCCCATCTGCCTTGGCTTGTTCCACATCATCAAGTTCTATTGGTTTCTCAGTGAAGACAAAGCGGGATTTCACAATCTTCTCGGGTTCTTCTCTACGTATCCTTTCGGACTCCTCGGGTGAAAGGACTTCGTAAGCTCCGGTTTGAAGATTGTTTCTAATCTCCTTGTTGATGGCATTGATGAAGGGTCCACGTTGTCGTTGGTCTAAAGATCTGAAACTGACCTCCTTTTTCGACTTGGTCATCAGGGCCTTCTCGATCTGGTTCAGGTAGAGCTCGATGAACTCGGTTCTCATTCTTTTGCTTTCTCTCTCATCCCCGACTTCTCCCTCTCCACTCGGATCTGGTTCTTGATCATCGCGTTGTCGAACTTCTCCCCGGGGTAGCTCCTCAACCGTTGCCTCGCCTTCAGGAACGATGTCGGGTTCAATGGCCTGGTCCTCCGCAGGGATGTTGTGCTCCTCCACCTCTGGTTGTGGTTCCTCCAGTCGTTGTCTCTTCGAACTGCTCGCTGGAATTCTGATCTCTCCCATGCTCTCCCGTGTCGGTTTAACCTCGAACTCTGTTCGTCCGGTCCATGCTACTCTTTCAGGTTCAGACCTTTCTCGGACCAACCAATCATCCACTTTTGAAAATCTTTCTCCAGTCGTCACAAGATTTCCTTCTGTCCGTCGTTGACCATAGATTCTATGAAGTGGTACTGGACATCCGTCAGGAGCTTCCGTGGGTGAAAAGAGATTTCTTCGTGGTTGGTAGTGCCATCGCACAAGCTTCTTCTGCTCCTCATCGATCACCCACTCATCATTCCGTTCATCTCCTTGAAAAACTATATTCTGTTGATCCCTCTTTCCGGTGAGCCGGAATTTCGGGATGCCAGACACCGTACTAGATTGACGTCCATCTTCTTCTCCTGCTGGTTCGTCTTCCAATGGGATCGGCTCATTGGTGAGGTCGATGTAACCTTGTCGCGGGATAGTGTCGAGCTCCTTTTTGGTCTCGGTGATGTCGTCGATCCATTTGCTCAGAGTGAATTGTTCCTCTTCGCTGGCAAGTCGAAGATGTTCAGGAGCAGCCTTGACGATGTATCCCCTGTAGTTCACCCAAATGGTGTTTGGTGGTGACGTAAGTATAACTCTGCAGGGCCCTCGCCAGTATTCAGGTGCATTCTTCTTAGCTCCTTCCATCCCCTTTCTCCAAAAGTACACTGTTTGGCCGACCTCATAGTCAATACGTTGACGGGGTCCAGCGTGAAGAGCATTTTTGAGTGCCTGGCTACAATCAGCCTCGTGAAAAGCCCGTGCAGCTGCCAACCTCATCTCTGCCGCCTTTTGTACTTGAAGATCTCCGGCTCGTAGACTCATCGTGGCCAAGTCATTAGCCCCACCAGAAAGAGCTCCTCCAGGAATTCGTGGTGAGTAGCCAAGTACCCTCTGGATAGGGCTATATCCGGACTTATTCATCAGTCGGTTGCATGTCATGTTGGCCACATCGACCAATTGTCGCCACTCCTCTTCGTCCTGGCAAGCATATTGTTGCATCGTCCGACTGAACACCTCTTTGAAATTCCTGCCAGCTCGCTCTGTAATCCCTCTTTGAGTCGGCATCTCCAAACTGCTGGGTTCCACTATCGTTGATTCTTGTTCGGCTCCTAGTTCAAATGATCCAAGAAATTCTCGTCCCAGATCCACGTAGAGTTTGGTAGGCGGTCCGAAGATCTTGACCCACTGGAGATATGCCCTCCTGGTTTCGTAGGCAGTGTGTCTCTTAAGAGGGATAATCATCTGGAAGCGGGAGGCCCAATCCACTATGTTCAGGGCTGGCCTTCTCTTCCGCTCAAAGTCCGGAATGTACACGGTGTCGATGCCCACAATCTCGTTCACGTGTAGTTGTCGTGGCGGTGCTGCTCTTCGAGGCGGATGTAGGGCAGCATGTTGGTCACAGACTGAGCATCGTAGTCCTTTGGCGATCTTGATAGCTTCTGGAGAGGCATTGGCGCTCTTCAGGATTCTGGCCAGCCTATCGTTGCCAGGATGACCAAGCCCTTCATGTGCTCGACGCACCAATTGTTGGAGAGAAAAGGGTCTCTCCCGGGGCAGTCTCGGTCTTCGGGATTCCGGTCCTTCTTCTTCTTCCCCATTCTCTTGAACTTCATCTCGACCTTCCGTCTCCGCATCCTCAATCTCATAGATCTCGGCCGGGACCTGGTTATTCGCTAAGACCATGTCATTCTCCCTCACGGTGATCTTTGCCGGAATCGCATCGGTCCCGATGATGTTGACATTTTTGAGCATCTCGGCATCCACGTCGTGGTAGATCTCGTCCATGAAGTAGAGGTGTTGTTGTAGGTCTCGTCGTAGATCTTCCCAGCCAACCATGTTGATCTCCTCCGTCTTGACATGTCGTCGATAACCTCGCAGGATAGCATCTACCAGAGGTCGAGGGTACACCTGAGCTTGTTTGGCTCGATTACCTGTTTGGTTGCTGCCGATGACTTGTTCATGTTGATGAGATCGATCGCATCTTTGATCCAGTTCAGTCGCGATCTCTGGTGAAGTCGTGATGAAGCCAGTGGGCTTCTTGTGAAGGTTGCCCGACGTCGACCTCAAATCAAACATGCACTGATCGCATGCTACCAGGATCACGCGGTCATCCGCCATGAGCTGCTGCAGTTCATTTTCAAGCCAGGCAGTTGAGGTGAGGGGATGCTCGAGCACAAACTGACCTCCATACGACATGACTTTTTCAGCCACCTTGGCGGAAAACCTAAGAAGCTTCCTGGCAAATCGAAGCCTCTTCAAAAAGATCTGATACTTCCTGTGTTTGTTCAGGTTTTGCAAAGGTGTGAACAAGGTACAAGGTGGAGAGATTACAACGAGTCCAGGTCTCATAAAATCCAAGTATTGAACAACCTCAGCCTGCATATCAGCCTTTAAGAGATCATGTCCCAAGGTCAAATCAAACGCCTGTCCTGGATGCAGTTGAAATCTCTTGGCCCGATCCCCGAAACGATTAGGATTATAGACTTCAGCAACCGTTCTGAGTTGTTTAGGGTTTTGTCCCAACACACCTGCAAACTTGTGAGCCGCTTTCTGGTTTTTAATCCGATGCGGATCTGTCGGATCCATGACTTCCCTCTCAAGCCTCTGCCAGCCGATGTCGGTAATTTGACTTGGCTCTGTACTAACCAGGCTCATAAGTTCTGTCCAAATCTGTTCAGCGGTTCCAAGGGCCGTTTTGGCCTGGTGTACAATCCGCTTAACCCGCCTGGCTCTTCTACCGTTCACAGGCTTGATGAGGGACTGAATTTCATCAGGCTCGATGCCTAAGTCTCGGATTCCGAATCCATTTGTCGCCTTTCCTTCTGCCACTTCCGAAACTCCTGGAACTCCTTGTATTCGTCCTTCTCCTTCTTGTTCATCTTGGAGTCCTTGGTCTGGGAACTGTTGCTCTCTGATTCGGTGTCGCGAGGCCCCTTCTTCAGAATCTTGCCGCAGTCCTTGCACTTCTCCTGAATGGTCGTTCCCGTACTTCCCTGTCGTGTCACATTCTTGTGACGGCACTTGGTCGTCATAGTCCGGGGACTGGCCGTTGAGGTAGCTCCGGGTGCCGACGGTGAAGACCTGGTCCCCCTCGGCAGTGGTGATGTCGCCGGCATTGATGGAGTCCCGGGATTCCCCATGGAATCCTGTGGTAGCCAGGTCGGCTGGGTCCATCCGAAGAAATTGCATTGGTGTCCCCGGGCTCGGGGACAACGCCAGAATGCCCTGCCGAAGTTGGGACCCATCTTGCGGGTCATCCACAAGCGGGCTTCTTCCTGGTGGTGGCAGTTTGGTGGTCGCCCCATCAACTCCAGGTCCAGTTCGGTGAGGGTTGATCTCATGTCGGCCATCTGGGATTCGGTATAACTCGGGGCCGGTGAAGTCGGTGTCACCGAGCTGTACCTCTGGGAGATGTTGGATCGGATCTCGTCCTCCTCGTCCTCTTCCGCAATCAGTTGGAAACTGCCCAGGCTCTCGACGTCTGGTGTCCTCCGTGTTGGGTATGCCGTGGTGGGCCAGGCCGAGAAGGGCTTCTGCCGATTCTCCTTGAGGGGCATCAGAAGCTTCATGGCCATCTCGGTCACGTTCGCCATCACCATGAGGAGCTTCAGCACCAGGCGACGCCAAGCCACCAGGGGCTCCACTGCCTGATCCGCCGCCTGTCGAGGCCGCTTGGTCACACCTCGGGACTCCATGGCCAGTATCCAAGGTAGGCGCGGAAGTCGCGGTGGAAGATCTCGAGCCGGAATCTCGCTCGAAGACAGTAGTTGTCCTGAGAAGTTCAAACTCCTTACAGTTTTCTTGGAAGGCATCTTGTGCCAGTTTCACAGCTTCCAAATTCTTTCCTGAAAATTCACTAAGAGGAACCCTAAGAGCACCGGTGGGACCTATGTGACACTTGACAGCAAACCCAAAACGTTTGAAATAGATCCTAAGACCTTGTTTGGGGTCCAGATGAATAACCGCCTTACAGTGAAGTAAAAAGGGGAGTGAAATCAAAAATGGTGCCTGTTGTGACTCCTTGTTGTCAAAGACTGCAGGTCGCAAAAGGCTTCCCTTAGTACCCAAACTAGTAGGGATCACAGCCACGAACTTGGTGGTGGAAGTTCCGTGAACAGATCTGAAACGATGTTCTTGTGGGACAAGATTGGTTCGAAGTCCATCAGGCAATGCAGCATCTAGACGTTTCAAAGTTTCCAAACCAATTGCCATGCGTTGACATCCCGTGTCAATTGTTGCACAAAGGTCGTCAGATGAGATATCAGAACCCTCAGATTTCTTTTCAGAACTCCAATAGATATCATGTTCAAATTTCCCCCGATCAAAATTAGAACCACAATCATCAAAAACACCGGGACCCACAAAATCACCACTACCCACAGAACAAACTCCATTCCCATGGTCCTTATAATCGCGCACAAAATTGGAAGATCCAGCCTGTCGGCCGTCCGAAAAATTTCTTCCATGCTGGTTCAGGCCAAAATGGCATTCATGACTACTCGAGTTGTCAGGATTTCCCGACATGATAGATTCGGTGGCCCCCTTCAGATTCTCACTCAGTACTTCTCGTCCAGGATGTAGAGCTTGTCCGGGATCTTCAAGCAGACCACAGAAGAGACCCTCCTCTGAGTCAGAGATCGTCTTCTTCTCGATGTAGTTGACATCCTTCGGCTTGTTGTTGTTGGATGTTCCCTGATTTTTGGGGCATTCAGGGTCACGGTGCCAGTGCCCCACTTGATTGCACTTGGCACATCTAGATTTCGCCTTTGCCTCACTCAGAGACATCCTGTAGTAGCCTCCCTTCACGTATCCAGCGGTTGACAAACCGCTTCCATTGCCGCGGCCTCCAGAGCCCTTGTCTTTCCATTGTCCATACCCTCGGGCGAGGGCTTTCGCCTTCTTCGTCTTCAAGCTCTGCATGAAGGTCTTCTTCTTGTGAGCGATCATCGTGCTCAGCAGCTCCTTGGCCTCGTGCTCCTCCATCACCTCTCCATCGTCAAAAAGGTCGCTCTCGGCAATCTCGGATTGTCCATCTTCTCCTGGATGTAGTTCCCGGTACAGCTCCTCCATGGCCAACAACTCATCGTCGTCGTAGTCCTCATCATCTGGAGCCATGCTGTAAACGGAGTTGGTCTTGGCACCACTGGATCGGGATTTTTCAGCCCCGACCTCCTTTGCCAACAACTTCATTTCGTGTTTTCTGCACCAGCTCTTCACGTCCTTGACCTCGATAGCACCCTGTGTGAAAGCCAGCATGGCCTTGATGTCTGCCTCTGAAAGACTCAAGGCGTTTATCAGCAGGAACCCAAGGTACTTCTCGGGCAACACCACGTTGTGCTCCTTGATCTTTCGAACAGCATCATCCCACCTGGCAAAGAAAGCTCGGCAAGGTTCATCTCGAGCTCTCTTCAGGTGGTAGGTCAACTTCGACAAGGCCGCCAGAAGTTCTTCTTCCCGGTCTTCTCCAAATAGTTCTGGAGTGTCCATGAGGTCTAGGATCTTCTGGCCGTTGCTCTCGTTGTTGAGCCAAGCTTTGTCTTTGGCCAGGTGTTTCAAAGACTGAAACGGTTGGCCACTCAACCTCTGAAGTATCATCGGGCCTTGGGTCTTTGGCTTCGACCTGGTCGTAGCCAGCCATAGTCTGGCTTTGATCAGCCAGTCTTGAAAACTCATTGAGCTTCCGTCCCATTCTGGTGGAGGTGGTCCATTTCCTGAACCTCTATGTCTGTCGCCCGAGCTGAGGGCTTCATCACTGTCATGCTCTCTATCAGCACGGCGTGAACTCCGCCGCGGACGTTCTTGGTCTCCACGACGTCGATCGGCACGTTGCCGCATCCACTCACGAAACTCACCACTGTCAAAACCATCGTCACCTGGGGATGACGGATTGTCACGTTCAGGTTCAGGTACTTCTGCAACCTCTCCATCCAACGAACCATGAGACGAGGGCAAAGTTGCCATGACAAAAGGCTACCCTTGGAGCGTTTTGCTCCGCTACCACTGTAGTCGGAGAAACATCGAAAGCGCGCCTTTTTCGCACGCACCCAAGGCCCGAAGTTCGAGCCACCACTCCAAAGTCAGAACACATCTGACATGTTAGGCAAAGTCAGAGCACATCTGACATGTTATGTCCAAATGGTTTCAACCGGATTGCATAGGGCTGGAATTCACAGTATGATATATATGATACAGTAGAATGTCCGACCTGCTTGACATCCAAGCCGCGCCATCTTCACCAGAGACTCGGAGCACAACGCACCAGCGGGGAGGCATGCCAGGCTCATTCAGAAGTTTGTCCGCAAGGTTCCTGCCCGGTTCCTTCCCCGCAGCCTCCATTTCTGGTGTCGCTTTCTTGGAGACATCGAAGGCATTGCATGCATCGATCAGAATTGGGACGCAGAATGCGGCCCTCTTGGGGTACTCGCTCTGAACATAAGCCGGACCCCTTTCTGGATCCTCGCGGTCCCGCCGCATCATGTTACGGAAATTGTTGTCCAGCAACTGCTCCCGGTTTTGCCACTGGTCAGGAGGCAACGGCACAGTGTAGATCCCTTTGCCCCACCAAGCATTAGCATTGGGCCCATCTGTCTTCAATGATGCCCAAACCTCTGCTGCTTCTTTGGCTGGGTGAGTGATGTTTCGGAAGGCAATTTCACTGGTATAATGAAAGTAGACCTCCCCACCATGACCCGAGGTGAGGTCAATGGCATCTTGCCAAACTTGGATCCCTGTGGGTCTATGGAACCAGGTCCACATATCAGCATCCCTACGCAGCTCGTAGTCAACATGCCAGAATTCTCCTCCCTCGCGGTAGTGATTCTCAAAGTAGTCCCGCAAATTGCTTGTCCTGAGATGAACTCAAGCGTGCCGTATGCAAATGGAAATTTGTTTTTGGGTTTTTTTATGTGCTGGGATCTGCGATCACAGTGTCGTGATGGCATTTCAATCTATTTGAAATTTCATTCTTGGATTTTTGGGCCCTTGGGTTGGAAACCAATGCTATCAAATGTGTGCGGGTCCTGATGTTTCCTGTAGATATTCCTAACCCTTTGGACTGTGTCGGTCAGAACACACTTTGGTGTTAGTTCGCGGGGCTGGCGGTGAACTACTGACTCAATGAACCCATGCATGCACGATTTAGTGAGTCGAGGAATTAGTGAATCAATGAATCACTGATTTCAATGAACCAATGAATCAACCTGCTGTTACGCAGGCACCGTGAACTCCTCACTTCACGCCTTGTTTTCCGTCTCGGACTGGCGATCTGTTTGAGCTAAAAAAGCAGCTATATGGATCGGCTTATGTTTCAGCCTGAAATTGGAAATGAATGCACAGGTGAAAAATTGCATGTTTCATTGATGCACAAATGGAAAATGAAGGAATGGAAATCTGCACTCCTCCTTTGGAGAGACGTCAGGCCCTCCAAAATTTCAAGAACTCTCAGACTCAAGCTGCTTTTCTGTCTAGTTGGTTTGGCCTGCGTCGAGGTCCTGACAAGCTTGGCACGCTCTGATGGCTCTTTGAGAATGACGGCGTGGACATCTGTCATCCACATGATATGATCCTCCCCAATGATCAACCCACAAAGGAACTCCAGGAGGGGGTCTTCCACGAGTCTGCAGAGAAATCGCTCTGCACATCCAGCACCATCCTGACTCCCTATGTGATCCAGTTTGAGGAGATGACAAATAGTGGCAGTCAGATCGAAAATGATAAACACCGCCAAATCTCGTGGTCAACACCTGAAAAAGGGGCTGACTGTCTTCATCACTTCGTTCATAATTGTAAAACCTGTCGGGATCTCGTTGGGCTTCATCATATAGAATCGCTTCTTCTTCAGCAATTCTGAGCAACTCGCCTTCGATGTCCACTTCGGGGATGTGTCGTTCATCCAGTGGACGATATGGACGCTCCTCAGAAGATTCGCTGGATGGGTCTTCAAACCTTGACGGCGACTGGGGCAGTGTCGCTCCCTGCCCTTCAGTGCTTGGTGGAGGTCGCCGGGGAGATAGTTGATCTCCCCTTACCATGCCCACCGCACTAGTGCTTGGTGGAGGTCGCCGGGGAGATGTTTGATCTCCCCTTACCATGCCCACCGCACTAGGTGGGAGGCGTACGGGTTGTTGCCACTCCTCCGCAACCCCCCGGCTCTCACCACCTTTTCCTTTTCCTTTTTTTTTCTGCAACAAGGCCTTGATTGGCCGATCCAGCCTGACTTCGCACTCTGGTTCTCAGCCTCTCTGTCCAAGCCTTCCACAAGCATTGAATCGCCAA